CTATGTCTCTCCTCAGGAAGTGATGAGTGAAGATTCTAACCCTGCAGCCTCACCCACCCCCTGTCAGGACATACAGGGAGATGGTCGATGGATGTCACTGGTGCTTCTTTTGTATAATAATATATTTACAACCTTAGTGTCCCTATTAGGCTGCTTATATATTACTTTGTTTTAAACACTTAGCCAGTACCTTCTCTAATATGCAAAGGGAGTCTTAATAGCATTTTTATGTGTTCTCATCTTGCAGCACAATCGATTTGTATCAGACAGTAAAGGAAAAGAGCCTGATGTTCTGTTTGTTGGCGATTCACTTGTCCAGCTTCTGCATGAGTTTGAGGTATAGCAAAGTATCTGCATCTCCTTCTTCATTCTTCATATCTGTCATTCATATCAGTGACTGCACACATATTTATGTGTTTTTGTGTTTGTTGGCAGGTTTGGCGAAAATTGTTTTCTCCTCTCCATGCGCTGAATTTTGGGGTTGGTGGGGATGCTACACAGCATGTATTGTGGAGACTCATAAATGGAGAACTGGACTACATCAACCCAAAGGTTGATTTGATTTCATTAATTTTATTTAAGAGTTTTACCAGTTATTAAATTTCTCATTACTTTAGACGTTACTTTAATTAAATAATAATCATTCTTTATTTGAGTTTGGTTTTCTCATTTTACAAGCTGATCGATTTTTCTCAAAATGAAACCAGTGTTTATCTAGAGATCTTCTTTTTTTTTTTTTTAACCAAGCTGTTCAAAATATTAAGGTGGAGTATCTTCACCTTATACAAGACGGTCCAGATAAACTATGTACATATAAACAGTAAATCTATGCATTTATTCTTAGAAGTGAATCATTTGTGTATGGATCCCTTATTTGTGTTGGGACATGAAAGAAAATGACTCTATTTAGGCATCTTTAAGAGGAAATAACAAAACAAATATTGAAGACCCTCTTGTAGAAAAATAGAGTAAGTAGAATTGTAATATTTTGTGTGTTTGTATACAGGTGGTGGTGTTGTGGGTAGGCACTAATAATCATGGTCACACCCCAGAACAGATCTGTGGAGGCATCATGGCCATCATCAATGTGATCCATCAGAAACTGCCCCATGCTCACACTCTTGTATTGGTTAGTTATCTCAGCTCCTACCTCTCTGTCACAATATTGTTTAATTCTTTAAAATAAGTTAATTTTTTATTAAATTCATCATACCAGTATTGTCAAAGTGCCATGTTCATAGCTATTGTGACTTGAGCAGCAGAGAATTGGGCAACAGAATACCTTTTAAAAAATGTAAAGGGGGAGGAAACAGGAGATAAAAAATTCTACAATATATTATTATTTTAAAATAATTCAAATAATTTCATCATATAAATGAAATAGTTAATCACATTTACTACTCACTGCTCACTACTGTTCAAAAGTTTGGGGTCTGTAACATAAATATATATATATATATATATACACAGTGGGTACGGAAAGTAT